TTTTTTTTTTTTTTTTAATTTTGAAACAAATCTTACTAAATCTCTAAATTGTCCAGGTTAGAGTTGGACTTTAAATCCTCCTGCCTCAGCTTCCCAGAGTGCTGAGATTACAGCCAGATGCTCCTGATGGTGGAGGTGGGGGTTCAGTTACTCTTAATTGGTTGGCTTTAATCTGTTAACCAGTGTGAAAAAAGGCAGTGTGATGAGGGCCAGAGAAGGAAGTAAAGAGAGGGGCCACTGAACAAGGGAACTGCCCTTCACAGTTATGGGAGGGTCCTCCCCAAGCTTCCCTTCCTCCTTTATCTTCCTGGCTTTGCTGCTTGTGGCTGGAAAAGCTGCCGTCCAGCCCTTGTTGGTCCCCAGAGGCTGCTTTCTTGCGCTCAAGGCTCAAGGATGTTTGAGAGACACGGGCTCCCCGGACTCAGTTGCCCTCCTTGCCCTCTCCTTCCCATGTGTTCGAAGTGCTCTAGACATCCTCTGTGCCCACCGGGGCTGCCGGAATGATGCCCCTTGCTGGGTGGCTTGTGGAGGACAGGAAGTGAGGAGGCAGGAAGCGGAGGTCAAGGGTTGGCTCTGGAGAGGCCTTTTTGGGCAGCAGACCGCTGACTTCTCGTTTATCCCCCACAAGGGTCTCCTTGGAAGGGCACTAATCTGGTTCAGGAGGGCTCCACATTCACCCCCCCACCCCCATTCTCCACTGTTCAGCACCAACTCCCAGATCTGAAGTCTCATCTAAATGCCACCTAAAACAAGTACGGCTGACACTCAAAGTCACTCTCTCCCAAGGCAACAAGGCAACATCGCTGTGCCGCTGTGAACCTCCTGAACCGACCCAATTCTGCTCTGAGATGCAGTGGTAGGAGAGGCATCCTCAGATGCTCATCCGAGGAGAGACAGGAACAAAGGAAGCGGTGACAGGTGAGGAAAAAGTGACATTCAATGGAATGTGATGAGATGCTCTGCCTTCTGGATCCCCTGGAGAAGTGGGGCTGCGTCAGGGACTCCTGGATGGCAGTTGACCCCCTCTGCTTGCTGGGGTGCTGCCTGTGCTGGACCCCAAGGTCCATACCCAGTCCACACCACACTCTCTGTGAGGCTGAGGGACAGCAGTGGCCAGCCAGGAGGCCAGGGCAGGGGGAGTCTGAGAACCAGCCTCACTTCTGTCCCTACTGTCACTCCATGCTCTCTGGGTCCCAAGGTCCCTTACAGCAGCCCCTTCTCCTTGGCTACAGGTCCCTCACTCCTGAGCCCACCTTGCTCGCTTTTCTCCTTCTGAGCTTTGGGTCTCACTTTAGACTCTTCAGTCCCTGGGCCCAGCACCACCTCCTGCTGTCACCTGCTCGTCACGACCTGCACGCTGTAGGCACTGTCCTCACCATCCTTCCCAGGCTCTGGCTTTTCTAAGTCTGTCTCCTCCCCAGGACTCTCCCCATGGTGCATCCTCCACCTGTAAGGCCCCTGTCCATCATGGCCCTGAGCTCTCTGTCATGGTGTCCTTGGGGAGAGTGCTTGACGGGCCCTGAGTGGCCCTGCTGGCTTGTGTGGCCTCACTGTCCCCACCCCTCTTTTTTTTTGAGACAGGGTCTCACTATGTAGTTGAGGCTGACCTGGAACTCACTATGTAGCCCAGGCTGGTCTCGAATGCACAGTGATACTCCTGCCTCAGCCTCCCGAGTGCTGGGATTACAGGCATGCGCCACCACGCCTGGCTACTGTCCCTTACTTTTGATGTGAGCCTGGGTGGAAGCTGTTACCTTCACATTCTGCTGCACCAGAGAAAGGAGGCAACTCTAAAAGAACTGAAATTACATATATTAAGATGAGTATATTAAAATCTTCCAAACGAAATATTTGCTAAAAATACCCTCCTAATTATAAAATCGCTTGGAAAGTCACGGAGTTCTGAGGCATATAACCTTAAAACTAAATTCCCCATGTTCTATTTTTTATCATATTTAGTGCTTTTTAGCCAGCCTGTTATTAAAATCTCTGCTTAACTGACATTTTGCTCTGAATCATTCACAAAATAAAGTCTTGAGAAATAGTTCAAATATGTATACCTGGCTGGCACATAGTAGGTGCTATATAAATAAATAAACACACACACACACACACACACACACACACACACACACACACACACACACATAATTTTTGCAGTACCAGGAACTGAATCCAAGACCTTGTGCTTGCCAGGCAGGTGCAGCACCGCTGGGCTACATCCTTGGCCCTGTGGTATATATATTTTAAAAGAAAGTCATTTTAGGTATTTTATCTAAAAATTACTTATTTTTTCCTTTGGGTTATAAGTATCGGGAGCAAAGTAGGGTTTTATTTATGTAACAACTTCAGCTTTGAGGGGTCTTTGTTTAGATTTGTAACCTTCTTCCTGATCTTAAGGGGAGAATTTCTGGAAAAAGAGAGGATCATAAAGATGATTGGGTCCAACACTGATTTTACAGATGCAGGCCTGAAAGTTAACCAAGGAGCCTCAGAGTTCCCAGCTGAGCAGAGGCAGGTCAGAAGCAGATGAGGGCGAGTCAAGACCACAGTTTATGGAGTAAGAACTAATTTTTTTTGGTGGGGTTGGGGATGTGCTGGGGATTAAGCCCAGGGCCTTGCAGATGCTAGGCAAGTGCTCTACCATGGAGCCATACCTCTAGCTCCAGAACTGCACATTTCTGCTCACTTTTTCTATTTTCGGGGTCACATGGCACGCCACCAGATAGAGAATGTTAAAGAGACATTTGTATCCCTAAATCTGACAGGCAATGCCTTGGAGATCTCTCCCTCCCTCCCTCCCTCTCCCTCTCCCTCTCTCTGACTTTCCTCAAATGCACACTGTATACGTCTAGAAGCAGTCGTTTGATAGTTTTTAATTATCTCGATCTTTAAAGTCTGTAAGTGCAGTGTTTTATTTCTGTCTCTCTCAAAAGAC